ATTATTATTGTGATTGTGATTCCCACAACAAATATTTATAACAGTTATAATCATTTGTATATGCATATGTTTGTGTATAAGTGCATGTGAGAAGATTCACATATGAGAAGTATGTAAGATCATGTACATTATGCAGAATATAACAATAAATACAAAGGATAATATCATGCACATCAGTAATATGATACAGACCGCTGGGTTACAATTAGACAGACAGAGAAAGAAGGAGGGAGGGAGAGAAGATGAGAGGTGAAAGAGAGGAAGAGAGAGAGAGAGAGAAAATGAAACAGCTAGAGATAGAGAGCTAAACAAACAAGGAGACGGAGGGAGAGGGGAGCTATATGGAGCGATCATTGCAAGATGAACAGCCTATGTGATTTTAAGTCCATGGTGAGAATATGTTAAGATTCGCAGAAATATCTGGACACTTTTTATTAGCTGATAAAAACCAATACACACCGCCGCCACACACGGCTCATGATTGTAATGCTATTCACTATCACTACATTATCTATTCCCTGCCATCTCCACTCTCCGGGATGACAGACTCACTGCACAATATTTTAATTCGCGAATTAAATGACGTCACTCTGAAGATGAAGCCATTTTGATATATATTTTTCATTCTATTTCATACCGGTCAGATATCATGACATAAACTTATCTAACCTCCCAGAGTGCAAGGCTTTATTGTCAGGTCAAGGGCAAACAGTTCAAACAGGTTTAGTAAAAAAAAAATCTGTATTCAGATGAACGAAGTTTTGACCTTGCAAGTCTGTGCTACTGGTTGTGCAGTAAGTATCCTTTGTATGCTTCTGTGTACACACTTGTGGTATTCAAATATTTTGGCGCTCCTGGAATCCTGGTCAGCGCCGAATGCGTTGAGCAACAAGTTATGTGTCTAAGACTTAAACACTAAGGTTCTCTTCTAGTTTTTACAACAGTGGATACTATAACAGATTCAGTTTTATGGCCATAGTAATTACTGGTAGTAGTGATTTACAAGAAACTAAATCAGTAGCCACAACGAACTAATAATGTAGTCCATAACAGGAATGACGATGCCAAACTCCAGCTCTGCCTGGCCTGTCATGCATCTCTCGATCCCGCTCACTGAAGGTTTAATTAGGCTGAAACTGTTGTGAGGCTTGGAAGGACCTCGTGAAACTGACTCCTTTCTGTAGCTCCCGCGACTCTGCAACGCGCGCCCGTCTGGCACTGCTCGCCGCCCTCCGCCCACACCCTGCGGCGTGGAGGCGGAGGAGCTCGGCGTCACCAGCAGGCGCGTGAGGCTGCAGCCCGCGGCGGCCATGAGGAGCAGCGATTCCTCGAGCCCAATGGCGCCGACATTCCTCAAGGCTGTGGAGTTTTTAAAGCCAGCAGAGTTTTTTGTCAGTTGGGAATCGGTGTCTGATCTACAGTACACAATGCTGGCCACCTTTCGTGTCGTGAAAATTGCTCTCAACGGCGTTTTTCAAGTGGAAATAGAACTGTTATTGAAGTTCTTTTCCTTAAAAGATAACATTTGTACTAATCATATATGCTCCTCTCTTGTTTTCCCCTCATGAGCTAATGCCATAACCAAATCAACAAATATAATGAATAATGTGAATAATAAGGTTCAGTAAATCGTGCTTCGTTAATCTATGATATAAGTATCGATATCTTCATGTCGATGCACTATAAGCATAGGGTAGAATGCATTGATATGTTTATCGGTGCTTATATTACTGATGAGATTTAAACAAACAAAACATTTAATAATGTACTTCGGGGACGGACGGACGGCCAGGCACCCAAATAATGATCATGATAACGATAGCAAATATGAATAATGATGACAACAACAGCATAAAATAAAAAAAATATAATGATAATAACCAAGACAATTATAACCTTGAATATGATAATAATTATAATACAATTACTCTAATTACAATCATCAATCAACAGCAGCATCAAAATAAATTAGAATAATGACATGAAAGAAGAATAAAAGTATGAAATGATAGTTTTAGAAATGAAAATAATAATACAATTAATGACAATGGTTATTATCATCCTTATTACCATTACTTCCGTCATAATCATTATTACTAGTGTTACCATGATCATTATTTTTGTTATTGCTATTTTCTTGCTTCCACCAATCATAATGGAGTGTGTTCAGACCTGACTGAACAGACTATCCCAATTGAACAAGGAAATCAGGGTCTCCCCGGGATTTCTAACTTCGGAGACTTGAGACACTGAGATTAGCCACCAAGGAGTTGGCATCATTTTCTGCCGGCCCACGTGAGCAGGAACCTTCGTGGATTCTTTTCTCTCTCCTCTACCTGGAAGTCGGCAGACGAGCTGGCGACAGATAGCGACCACAACCAGTGCTTTTTCTCACTCTTACAGTCTCTATAATCTGTCTCGCAATTTTCCTTCCACCTTGATCTTTGACCTTCCTATCTGGCTCGATTTCTATTGCTGTTTGGCATGTGCTTTGTGCTGAATCCCCTTTGTATGGCACTTTCATCCCTCGAGAACCCAGTGTCAGGGAGGAAGGGACGCGAGGGGAAGAAGGGAGAGAAAGGGAGGGGTAGAGCGACCG